CTGCAGCCACCTGCGGTCGTTTTAGCCGTGGTGTCGCGGGAAACGGTAAACAACCGGCGGTGGGTTCCAGGCGTAGCGCTGCTGAAGCTGCCGTCAGCATCAGCTGCAATACCTTACCTCAGTGTTTCCTGAGTTACGTCAGAGGAGCTCCCGTCTATAAATGCAGTCTGTAAAGTGCTCTGTTACTGTTTTTAAAAACTACCGCAGTAGCTGAATATTAAATGTGAGGATTCCCCGCTTGTACATCTTGGGCCCAAAGTTCCAGAGCTTGTATCAGGAGGAGGAGGTCAGGGAGAATGACTCTTCTTGCAAATAACTGGACTGTTAATTGTGCATCTGCTCTTGTAACCTGAACAGATGCTCTAGTTTTTTGTCTCATTCATCAGGTTTACAGGATGTGATAAAAGCAAGAAAAAACTTACTTGTGGTATAAACTTTCAGTGGGCTATTTGAAGCTGAAAATGGAAGCGTGACTGACTCCAACAGAGCGTTCTTTCTTATATGTAGATCTTTTTTCATATAAAGCGTTATTTGTTTATTTATCTGTTCAATGCAGCACACTGATAGGATTGCACAGCTTGCAGTTCTGCGCTGTCATCTGAAGTCAGCGTCAGCTGTCTTTCCTCTGGTCCCTGCAAGATGCCAGCAGCCCTTGCAGAGAACAGCCAGGTTATCTGTGAAGTATGGGCGAACAATCTGGAAGAAGAGATGAGGAAAATTCGAGAGATTGTTCTGAGTTACAGCTACATTGCCATGGTAAATATTTTCTACTTGACCGAACTGCCTTCGTCAAGGGATGTTTTGGGGTAGGGGAATAAGTTGATTCTTGAGTGAGAAATTATTTCCCCCTATCACCAGTCAAACTGAGCTAGAAGTTAAGTGGTGAAAAACTAGAAAGCAGTTCAGTAGAAGCTTTCCAGAATTTAATACAAGTAGTGTTGAGTATGGATTGAATGAAGGATGGGGAAGAGAGAGACCATGTTAAAAACCTGAATTAATTTAATATTTAGCTATTCATAATGCATCAGTTTGTGCGACAGAAAAATGAAATGGGTCATATATATTGGGTTTAAATCTTTGTAAGGTTACTGGGTTTACATCTTTAGTTTTCCACCAGTGTATTTGTCCTCCAAATGGCTTTCTCCGTTTGGTTATGGAAGTTGCTATGGTCCTGTAGGCCAAAAGGCCTACAAGTGACAGCTGGTTGGCTGCTCTGCCTCCTTTTTAACAAGGTCAGATGTTGATTCTTAGGGAAGAAAAATATTCTGGCTGTGGGTATGACAGTGTGTTCAGAAAACTTTGTTTAAGACGACCAGAATCTCCCCCACGTGGGAGGAATCTCTTCCTGCTCTTAGAAGTCTGTATCTGCTTGGCAGGAGCCAGTTAGTTACATAAATAACTGGGTTTAGTTATGGTACTGTAAGTTATGTCAACTTTGCTTAGGAACGCTGATCTTCAAGATAGGAAAAGTCCTTAATAAAAGCATGGCATAAAAACACATGCCCCTGCAGAGCGTGTAGTATTTCAGCATAGAATGCAATTGTGTAAGTAAATATGATTTTTTGTGTCAGTGGGAAATGAGCTTTCTTGTGTTTGATGTCATTGGAAGTGTGCTTACAACCTGTTTTAGTGGCTGTGCTGTAAGACTGGACATAGAAAGATCTTGGGCAAGGGAGGAATTTGGTCGGATATGTGGCACTGGATTCTTCATGAAAGTTTTTGCATACGCTCTAGTCAGTAGAAGTTATGTGACCTGATCTGCGAGTGAAAATAGTCTAGAAGTTTGGCTTTCAGCAAAGGGAGTGCACAATCACTGGCCAAGTAAAATGTTTTTCATCTAATTGGTGGTTGCTCTGCTGTTAAGGTCTGTGTTGATTGGCAGGAGTTTTTGTTAATGTAGGCATTGGCTGTTCCTCAAAACCAGTGAGGGTTATCGCTGTTTGGACTATTGAATGAAGATGGCCAGAGTGTTAAATTTAACTTGTATATAGCACATGAAAGAACACTGAATAAATAAAAAGTCCATTTTAGTAGATTTAGGGAAAATGAGAGA